AATTCATTCCATAAAGAGGCTTTAAAGCCACTAGTTGACGGTCAAAAGAAGATTCCCTTTTCCATGCTGGGCTCTAGGCCAGCTGTTGTCCTGTCCCTTGGGGACCCCATGCTCTGAGAAAAGCCTGGTATGAATAAGTTGCATGGGGTATAAAGCTCTACCTCTGGTCCTGTGCAGGAATCAGTGTTCAGCACACCTCATGGCAACACAGAAGCTTTGGGTCATGCAATGGGGATGGTGAAAGCAACCAAGATAAAATCCATATGGGACAGAAACAAGTGGGAAAGTGCACTTTTTCAGAGTCTCATGTTATTACATTCTTGTTTGGATTCGGGCTTTTTCCCCCTTTTTTCTTAAAGCAATGTTTAAGGAGTTTTCTTAGCCAGACCTTGTTATCATATAACGAGTTGTCCCTCCCTGCATTTGTAGACCTCATCCAGCCCAGTGTGACTTCCAGCCGGAACTCATAGTCCAAAATAAACTTTTACTGGAAGATTATGATCAGAAAATAGGATTTCTAGAACTCCATATTGTTGTAGTGTGTTGTTAAGTTTATTGTATTACTCCCCCATTTTATGTATTGTTTCCCCATATCCAATACAGCATAAAGTTATGCTCTATTACATAGTACTTAAAACACTGTATGAAGTAAAAACTTGTACTTAGACCTACAACACCCATAAGCTTTGTGGTTTCACAGGGATCCCTCTCTTTGGAGCTCCCTTTCTTGAGTTACTGGCTATGTCCTTCTAAATTTCCCTCACCTTCATGTAGAATGTATGGACTCGGTTGAGAAGGAATAAAAACTAACCAGTTATCAGCCTGGGTAGAAAGAGCTTTTTCTGCCTCCATGGAGAGCAAACTTTGTGCCACTAACACACCAGGTTGCTTGGTGTCAGTAGTTCACAGAAATGATCAGACAACCACTACAGCAACTTTAACCAGCTACCACTGTGTCACACAGACCAGCCAATTTGTTTCAAGTGCCTCAACACCAGAGAAGCAAAGACAAACACAAACTGAAATACAGCTAAATAAAAGCATTAATATATCTCCTGGCAACTTACCTCCAGCACATTTTAAAAGACCTTTAAAACCTTTATGCAGCACAATGCAATTTATTACCTGCCTCTCTCCAAGCTGTCTGACAACATAGCTCTTCCATATTTTTGGAAGCAAAAGTGCTCCAGCTGCTTGACACTGAAAATAAAGGTGATTTGCAAAGTCTTGCCTTTTAGTTTGCCAAGCACTGAATGTGTGCTTTCTTGCAAAGATGATGGCTTGGGTTTTCTCTGGTTTATTTTGAAAATAAAGCAATTGGGAAACAAATCGAGGTCTCAGTAGCAGAAATATTGCTTTTGTAAAAGGATAAAAAAAAAAAAAACAAACAAAAAAAAGCCGTGAGTAACGGCAAATACCTGCAGGGGGAAAAAAATAAAATAGAAGTGTACTGGGGAAATAGGCTTTCAATTGGCATTGGGGAGCTTCACAAGGGGGCTGGCTTGATGCTGCCTTCACCTTTCATAAGGTTTGGCTGCTAGCTGGTGCTTTGATATGTGCAACTACTACTAACATTTCATAATATGACAATCCAAGAGGTGAAATAGCTTTTGTATTTTAAAATCCATTAAGAACAGCTGCAACTTAGTGCTGATGGATACATCCTCACTTTACTAAATCACTGTCTCCTTTGTTGAGTTATATGAAGCTGTTTCATTGCCACGCAGATGGGAGATGCTAAAAAAAAATAAAAGAAAAAAATTAAATAAAGGAGATTTAAAATCTGTTATAGCACACTACATGTTAGCTATAGCTGTCCCTAGTATGAAGAAGTAATGAAACAACTAGAAATATCATATACAAAAATAAAAGAGTAAAATAAAAACAGAATTAGCATTTGAAGTGACAGTTCTGAAATGCTAAAAAAGCTTATCTCAAAACTGCATGTTTCTGGGTGGGAGAAAGATTTCTAGGACATGCTTTTTCCCTAAGTGAATTTTCCAAGAGTCCCAAGTGTTATTTGCCTTCTAGTTCTGTAGTGTCAATATGGATTTCTCATACCAATTTCCACATAGCCTGCCCCTACAGTGAAAACATCTTGTGTTTAGAAAACGTATTACGACATTTAAAAATGTTTATTGTATTTAACAGTAAAAGTGTATGTGGAGAAAAAGTTATTTTCTTTAAAAAATGCCTGGTGGCCAGCATTAGGGTTAACCCACAAGCTTGTCTTAAGCAGTGTTTTTTAAATAAACTTTTCTAGATGCCTAGACAGGATCCTAAGAAGCAAACGGACCCGATGGTTGTTCTTTGCTTGTTGGCTTTTGGGGTATTCCAGTTTAGTTCCTCGTGAAGCCTCATGATGAAACACCTACCAAGGCTCACCGAAGCATGAAGGTTTAGGTGGCTGTAACGAAATAACCACTTACAGAGGCTACGGGAGAAGAAGGTTTTGTTAGTCTGAAGGAGAATTGGGCTGTGGAAAGCTTTAGCACAATAGCCGATTGTCAAAGAACACTGCTCTAGCAAGCTCTCTGCTTGCCAGGGGCGAGCCCAGGGGCAAGAGCAGCTTAAAAAAGAAGTGAAGAAAGACCTGAAACTATTTGCTAATGTGGTAACAAGCGCTACCTTTATTATGAACCAACTGACTCATGGAGGAGGTTGTTTTGGTTTTTAAACTGGCATGCTCATTCCGTGGTAGATGAACTGATCTCCAAGTCCTCGTAAGGATAATCCATGGTGAGGCCAGTCCATGATTAGAGTTCCGTGGGTATCACATCTTCTTTACTGACAGCAGTAATAAAATGTATTCTCCAAGTGCGGACAGGACCTATTTGATAATCAGCCTCAAACCTTGAGTCCTAGGGGAGAATGCAGAATGCTGTCTGTGCCTGCACGGAGCTCTCAGCAGGATAAACCTCTGATTAGTGACGTGGAGGGTGGAGTGGATGTAAGTTTAATGTTATGTGCCAGCTCACATTAGACAACCTTGTGCAACTCTGTCAGTTTTGGAATGCAGTTCGATTACCTTATCTAACTGGAGAGCTTGAACAATAGGATTTAAACTTCTGAAATACAACTGACTAGGCTAAATGCTATTTTTAGGAACATAGATAGGTAAGTTAACATATATGTATATGATTAACTTACCTATTTGCATATAGATTATACAGGTATATAACTTATGCATGTGTCTTCCCAGTTACGGGCACCTGCAGCACTGTGAGCACCTCACTTGCTACTCTCTAAATTCCCCCTGGCTGCTGAGGTGCTTCCAGTTGATGTGTGTAATACGGATGCTCCGTATACATTTTTCCCCTCCAACCTCACTGCAAGTTCTTTATGTCCTTTATACTTAGTATTCGTATACTGGGCTGCATATTCATCTGCAAGTCTGTCAACACAGTTCACCTCCCGCAATCAGAAAATGGTGATTAAATGAACATCCAAGTACAGAAGCTGTCAACCTCGTGTTCATCTTTTTTAAAGTTTAAAAAAAAAAAAAATCAATTACCTTTTGCACTCATATGCCTCTAAAAAGGTCTTTAAAAAAAAAGTTTCTTCCACGATCGTAAAACAAAATCAAAGGTCAATGCCGATCACATAATTTTTAGCATTTCCAGAAACAATAAAGAAAAATCATGTCTGTAAAAAAAGTTTATGCTGCAAACCCTGCAGTTCTCTGTCTTCTAGGGTGGGTTGTAATAGCTCCTAAAAGGAGCTTGTCTGGGGAATTTAGCTTTTAACCACAACAAGGTACTGTTTGTTTTAGCTATCTGTTTCAGCATTTGGTCCATCTCATGGGACGGTCTTTGAGACTTTGTTTCAGGATTAGGTTACAGATAGAGTATGACAAGGAAAGGGAAAAAAACATCCTTATTTATATCCTCTTACGTGCATAGGGAAAAAAACGCAGAATTTTATATATGTGCCATCGACCTGAGAGGGAACATAATCCGCTCTCAAACAACAGAGTGAGCACAACTTCTGTAGTGCGTGCAACAACTTTGACCTCCGTGTAATTACTCCAGGCTTACATCAATATAACAGTGCCGGCTTTCTTTCAATTATTTCCCGGGAGTGGCAGGCTCTCTTCCCGCAACGCTTATTTATTTCGAATTGGCCTAATTTGCTCAACAATTTGCACATCCCTTCTTTGGCATCCCACGTTTTCCCGGACGGCGGGAGCTGGGGCTGTCGGGGCCGCCCCGTCCGTGGCCGTCGGTCCCTGCCCCGGGGGAGCGGACACGGAGCTCGGCACCGCCCGGCACCGGCGGGCACCGGGCCCTCCCGAGGGAAACACCGCGGCCGGGGCCCGGCGCTGAGCGATTCCTACGGATGAGTAAGCAGCAAATGTGGTAACTCATGCCAACAGCTCTGCAATTAGGGCTATAATTTCAGGTGTAGCCAGCAGTCGCAATGAATATTTATTTCATCGTACCGAATAAAAGAAATGGCCCGGTTAAATAGCACGGGGAGTTCTGTGGGGTCCTTTGCTTTGGAGAGTCGGGGGGCTACCAGCGGGGACCCCCCTCGTCCCGAGTGGGACAGGCTCCCTCTCCCTGCGGCAGGCTCATGCCCTGGTTCCTGCCCGAGCCCAGCCCGGCCCGGTCCCTTCCCGAGCAGGGAGGGTGAGGAAGGCGCGTGCAGCAGCCGCCTTCCCGGGGCACAGCCGGGCGGGGGGCGCGGGCGGCGGGGGCAGGGCTGAGCGGGGCTCCGCGCCCCCCGCCTGCGCTGCGCCGCTCCGGGGCTGCCCTCTGCGAAAACACCCGCGAAGTGTCGGGTGGTGCTGGGTCCGGCGGCTCCGCGCCCCGGCGCGGTGGCGGGAGCCCCCTCGGGTTTTGCTCCGTCTCGGAGGAGGGTAGCGGAGGAAGAGCGCGGCGGGCGCGGTGGGAGGCAGCGGCGGCACGGGGGGGGCCGAGGCCCCTCCGGCTGCCCTGAGGTCTGCAGCCCCGGCGAGCAGGAGGGCGGCCCGGAGCGCCCGTCAGCCCCCGAGCCCTCATTGCTCCCTCTCCGCAGCCAGCCTCGCCGGGGCTCCCGCCAGCCAAGCGAGCGCCGCGGCCACCGACTGGCTGTTCCCGGGCGGACTGCAAACCGCACGGATGCAATGCCCCGAGCGCCCGTCTCCTCCCGAGCCCCTGGACCGAAATCCGGGCGCCCGATTAAAGGTGCGAGGTCGGCGGCAGCGATGTCGCGGCAGCGCGGCAGGCGGGGAACGGGGCCGGCTCCTCCGCCCGCTCCCCGGCAGCATCCTATCGAGGTCTGAGCCGTGCTGCGGACAGGCACAGCCCGAGCCTTTTCTGTGGGGGGGTTTGGGTTTCGTTTGGGTTTTTGTTTGATTTTTCTTTTCTTCGCTTTGCGGGGTTTCTTTTTTTTTTTTTTTTTTTTCCTTTTTGGTCTGTGTTTAAGTTACTGTGGAATGAGGAGGTGCGAGGCGTCGTAGCAGCTCGGTGGCGGTCCGTCCCTACCGAAAGAGCCGCTCCACAGGCGGAGTGCTTTCTGTTTCGGGGATGGGGAGGTGGGACGGGCGCCGGGGGTGGCGGGGGAGCCTCCGGGCCGGGGCGCACCTGCCCGGCGGGTCCCCCCCGCTCCCGGCGCCCGTCAGCGTTGCTCGACGGGACGGACCCGAGGTGAGCGGCGGGCGCGGTAAGTAGCGCTCCCTTCCCCGCGGTACCCCCTCAGCGCGACTCAGCCTCCTCCCCATCCATGCCAGCCTCTCCCGCCCCTTCCCCGCCGCCGCCAGTGGGAGCGCGGCCCCTTTAAGAGCCCGGCTTTGCCTCCCGGTAGCTGAAGGTCATTAAAACACAAAAGCGCTCCAGCGCTGCGGTCCAATATAGCGCATGCGCCCTGCCCGAGGACTGGCAGGGAGACGGCAATATGGCGAGAATGCCTGGCAGCGGCGGCGGCGGCGGAGAGTGGAGCGGCGGCGGCGGAGGGGGCGGCGGACGCGGCGGAGGCGGCGGGAACAATGCGGGGGACCGGCCGTCCGGCCGCGGCGTCGCCCCCCGCCCGCACCGCTACTGCAGCGCCGGCGAGGAGGAGGAGGGCGAGGAGGAGGATGAGATCCAGGAGGTGCAGATAACGGGGGACGAGGAGGAGGAGGACGGAGCCGATGGGGGGCTGCTGCTGGACGAGGAGGAGGAGGAAGAGGAGATGGGTCTGGAGTGGGACGGCGAGGAGGAGACGGAGCCGCTGCCGCCCGCCCCGGGCCGTACGCCGGGCGGCGGCAGCAGCGGCGTCGGGGCTGCCCCGGGGGGCGCCGCGGCGGCTGCCCCGGGGGGCGGCGGCGGCGGCGGCCCCGGGGGGGCGGCGGAGGACGCGGAGCTGGAGGCGGCCCTGCTGCTGCAGCGGCCGGAGCGGGCGCGGCTGAGCGAAAACACGCGGCTGGCCACCCGCTACGCCGTGCGCATCTTCCGCGAGTACCTGAGCGAGAAGGCGCAGAGCCCCGACTTCGAGACCATGGACAAGGGGGCGCTCTGCCGGGTCCTGCGCTCCTTCTACGCCGAGGCGCGCTCCAAGAGCGGGCAGCTCTACTCCAAGTCCTCCCTCATCAGCATCCGCAGCTCCCTCAACCGCTACCTCAACGAGCCGCCCTACTGCCGCACCCTCGACCTCACCAAGGACCCCGAGCTGCGCGCCGCCAACCTCACCCTGGCCGCTGTCATCCGCAAGCTGGAGGAGCAGGGCGCCGGGCCAGTGGTGCAGAAGCAGGCCATCACCCGCGCCGACCTCCGCAAGCTCTACACGTGCAGCGTCTTCAGCACCCAGAGCCCCTTCGGGCTCCTCAACAAGGTCTGGTTTGAGACCTGCATGTACTTCTGCACCCGCGGCCGGGAGAACCAGCGGGAGCTGGAGGAGGACTCGTTTGGGCTGGCCGTGGATGAGGACGGACGCAAGTTCGTCTACTTCAAGGCGCTGGGGCCCTACCACAAGTCGCGCTCGTCCTCCTGGAGCAAGAAGCGGGCGGAGAGCAGCGACGAGGAGAACCTGCCTCGCATGTATGAGACTGGCACAGAGTTCTGCCCCTATGCCAGCTTTGTCAAGTACCTCTCCAAGCGCAACCCTCTCTGCAAGGCCTTCTTCCAGCGCCCGCGGGACCACTGCAGCGAGGGGGACATCACCTGGTACGAGAACAAGGCCATCGGGAAGAACCTCCTGGGTACCCGCATGCAGATGCTCTCCAAGGCGGCCAAGCTCTCCAAGACCTACACCAACCACTGCATTGGTGCCGTCTCCATTGCCACCCTCAACAGTATCGCTGGCATTGGCACCAAGCTGGGAGGACTGCAGCCAACCCAGCACCACCACCCCCCTCCCCACCACCACCACCTCCTCCACCACCCCGCTGGCGGGGGCTGCTACACCCCTGCCGCCCTCAATGGTGGGCCTCGGCCGCGGCCGCCCGCTGCCAACCCCTACGTGCTGCCCAAAGACGGGGACGCTGCGCCGGTGAAAGCAGAAGCGGCCGCAGTGGCCCCGGCCAAGCGGGCGCTCTACGAGGCCGTGTTCCCGGCAGGGGCTGCGGCCGGCGGCGATGCCTGTGGGCCCTCTGCCTCCCCAAAAAGACTCTGCCGCCGCCCCGCCGAGCCCCTGGATGCCGCTGCACCCGCCGTGGTGGTGGTCTCAGTGAAACACGACCCCTTGCCTCACCTCCTCCCCGAAGCAAACGGGCACAGAAGCACCACCTCACCCACAGTAGTTTCACCTGCTATTGTTACCCCCACACAGGTAACCGGAAAAAGAAAAAGGAAAAAAAAAAAAGAGAAAAAAAGTGGCAGCCCCTCACCCTGCCCCACATAGTCTGCACTGCCCCCCTCCTTTCTTGCCCCAAGGCTGGGCACTCAGGCACACTGCCAGCACTGGGGTGGCTCTTGGGTCACGCTCACTCTTCAGGCACCCAGAGAGCCCAGACGTGAGTTATCCAACTTACTTGCCCTCCGCAGTCTCTTCATGCCCTGCCACTGGTCCAGTGGCCACTCACTGTGTGCCTGGGTGTTGGACTTGACTGGTGCCTGGGTGCTGCCGTGCTCCCCCTCAGTGGCAGCACTGACAGCTCAGCCCTATGGGCTCCACTTTTCTTCCTTTTTAGTTCTTTCCCCGCTCTTTTATTTCTCTTTTTGCGGAAGATGTCGAATCGGGCCAGAACAGTAGATAGGGGCATCAGGTATCATTAGTGTGTGTGGTGTTCTTGATGTGCTAATGAACTATTTGAATAACCTCAAATGCAAGAAACAGCCGGGAGAATACTCAATTACACACTAGTAATGAGGGTGTAATTTTAAACTTCAGAAGTTAACAAGAGGGTTAATATGGCAATTGCATTCATCTTGTATTTGTTTATTTAAAATAGCTCTGTTTCCTGGCAGTGATCCTTTTTTTTTTTTAAGGCAAATTGGCTTTACTTGCCTTAGTTACCATAGTGGCGAAATATACAGTAAGAGCACAATTAAACGGGTTTAGGTGCAGCTTAGCCGTGGAATGAGCCCAAATTCATTAGATGTGTTTGGTTAAGGTAAAACGGTGTTGTGGAAAACGCTGCTGAGCTGTGCCTTGATGTGTGCCTTGCAGAGCCCCCTGTGCCGTGTGCCAGCGCGTGCTGGTGCCTGCCCCCCATCCCCTCCAAAAGCACTTTCCTCTCGGGTGTTTGAGCGCCGGAGCTAAATTACTTCAATTAAAGCCTCGCTGCACCTCTGCAATTGCCTTGAAGTTTGGAAGCCATTCCAAGTGAATCTGTAAAGCGTACGCAGTTACGTTGTGCCCCATAAAATACCGCGTTTCGGGCAAGAACTTTACTGCTGGCTGCCCTACACGATTACAAAACCCCTCCGACATTCTTGTGTCAAGTAATAACAGGGATCGCCGCCGTCAGCCAGGGAGCGCGGCGCTGGGCAGGCACAGGTATATGACATGCCTGAGCTGTTTCCCGAGTGGAAATACCAGTTCTGGACAGACTGACCCTTTCAAAGAGTTTGCCAACTAATCAACCAGCCTGAAGGCTAATTGGGGTGGGGAGGGGGAGGGCAGGGCTCCCAGCGAATGCCTGCATAAGCATCTATGTTCTTTAAGATACCTGTGACCTCTCCTTTCTTTCGGGGAGGCTTTTTTTGGACCACTTCAGTGGAGTGCTGTAGCTTGATCCCCTGCTGTGTGTATCTGGTGTCTGTGAATGGCTTAGAGGCTTGATTATGTGCAGATAATGTTTTTGTTCTAGCTCATTATTCCAGGTAAAAGCTAATGCTCCTCGCTGTATTTAACCCTAGATTCCTCTTCCCCTTGCTTTTAACGGTCTTGAAAGCAATTTTGGAACTTCGGGCACAGTTCAGCTTTTGAGGAGGAGCGCTGCACGTGCGTCTGGGAAGGGGAAGAGGGAACTGGGCAGAGCAGTCAGTGGTCAGGGAGTGTGGGTGTGTCTTTAACCTGTTAAATGAGGCGTCTTGGTGCTTTCAGTTGTCAGACTAGAGAGCTCTATTTCCACCCTGGCCCACAAATCCTTTCACACTTGCAGAAAGCTTAGGCGAGGAGAAATCCAGCTGCTGTAGTGTTTGTTGCAAAGCTGAGCTTCCTACGGGAAGCGTTCGGAGCTGTAATTCTCATTAACAGTGGGCTGTGGGGAGACAGGGAGAAATAGCTAAAATAGAGTACACAGGCATCTGCTGTCTTCCTAAGTGTATCAAGAAAGAAAATGAGCAGTCAGCAAGGGTAATAGAACTAGACAATGTGAGTTTTATCAGTAATTGTATGGAAATGTTCACCTCCATTCATAATTTCACGAGTTAAACAAGGTGCCCACTCACTTTTGTAGCTGAATCTTGCCTTTGCTACAAACGTCATTAATGTAAATCTATAACAGAAAAAAAAGTGTCTCTCTCTTTTCTTTTTTTTTTACCCCCCATTTTCATCACCAGTTTTTCTTGTGTCAGTCTTAATTTATGCACTTCTGGGATGTGACAAAATGAAAAAATACTGGCTGTGGAATGGATTTCCTTGGGAGACTGTTAATGCTAAACTTTTTCTCTCTAGCTACCTTTTATGATACTTACACTAATCGAGGTCCAGGGCATTTCCTGGGGAAATTAATGACTGGCTGAGGTTAATGGCCCAAGGCATTGCCTCAAGCCATTGGCTCTCCCAGCCCGGTCATTAATCCCCAGGAAATGCCCTGGCCCTC